ACCCCCGGACCCCTGACCAGGACCCCGGACTGGGACACCCCAAACGCGACTCTCCCGGGGACCACCCCTCCTCCGGGACCCCCTCATGGGACCCCCGGACCCCCTACACGAGCCCCCCACCCCCGGCCCCGTGAATGGGACCCCTCCAGGGCCCCCAAACCCGAGCCCCGCTGACTGAGCCCCCTCCGTCCCCCCTCGAGACCACCCGGGAACCCCCCACCACAGAGACCCCTGAGCAGGACATTCCCCTTCCCCCAACGGCGCTCCCCCAAACCCCAGGACACCCCGAATCCCCTCTAAACTCCGAGGCTCCCCCAGCCCTGGGACCCCTCAGGACCCCCAACTCGGGGACCCCTGATCGAGATCCAGGACCCCCTCTCAGGACCCCTGATGTGTCCCCACCCCCCACCTGCAGACCCCCGGAAGCCCCAAAACGGCCCCTCCGCGACCCCCAAAGTCCGGACAGGGACTCCCCCTCAAATAACCGCCCCTCCCCACAGGAGCCCCCGGGGCCCCCTCAGGGCGCCCCCGCCGTTCCCGCCGCTCCCCCCGTCCTGCGCCGCCCTCGACCCCCGGCAGCGACCCCCGCCCCCGCGGGTGGTGACAGGACCCCCAGGGAGGGGGAGTTTGGGGGTCAGGAGGTCTCGGACCGCTTGTTCTCCTTCTGGGGGGTCGGGGAGGTCCCGGGCACGGGGGTCCCTCGAGGGGGAGGTTTGGGGAGGCTGAGGGGTCCCGGACCCCTGGGAACACCCTGGGGCCGAGGTTTGGGGGTCTGGGGGTTCCAGACCCCTGTCCGTCTCCCGGGGTCCCCATGAGGGGAGGTTTGGGGGTCGTGGACAGCGGGGTCTCCCTGGGGTCTTCAATTTTTTGGGGAGGGGTGTCTCCGTTCCCAGGGTCCCCGGGGGTCCCAAGGGGTTTGGGGTTCCTGGACACTCCTGGGGAAGGTTCGGGGAGTCCGGACATCAGGTCCCTCGGGGGTCTCGGAGGTTTTGGGGGTCTCGGGGATTTTGGAGGGACTCTCGGGGATTTTGGGGGGTCTCAGGGATTTGGGAGGGTCTCAGAGGTTTTGGGGCGGGTCTCGGAGGTTTTGGGGGGTCTCAGGGATTTTGGGGGTCTCCGCGGTGTGGGGGGTCTCAGGGATTTGGGAGGGTCTCAGGGATTTTGGGGGGTCTCAGGAGGTTTTAGGGGGTCTCGGAGGTTTTGGGGAGTCTGACCGTGCCCCCACCCAGCCCTCAGTGCCCCCTAGGGTCGTGGCCGCGTGTCCTTCGGGGCCTTCGTGGTGGGGGCGGCGCTGGCAGGGGGCTTTGGCTCGTGCACGGCCGCACAGGTGAGACCCCCCAATAACTCCCAAATACCCCCAAATCCTCCCTGACCCCGGGCTTTGGCTCGTGCACGGCCGCACAGGTGAGACCCCCAAAATAAACCCAAATACCCCCAAATCCTCCTTAACCCTCCCCGGGGGCTTTGGCTCGTGCACGGCCGCACAGGTGAGACTCCCCCAAAAATACCCCCAAATCCTCCTTAACCTCCCCTGGGACCCCTAATTCCACCCTAATTCCCCCCACGACCCCCAAACTCCCCCTTTAATCCCCTCCCCGGGACCCCCAGATCCACCTGAATCCCCCGGACCCCTAAACCCCCTTTAACCCCCCAAATCCACCTGAACCCACCCAGGACCCCCAAACGCCCCTGGACCCCCCGTGAGACCCCCAGCCTTTCAGGACCCCCAACCCCCCCTTTAACCCGCCCGGGCCTCCCCAAACCCACCTGACCCCCTCCCCACTTCCCCCCAAAATTCTGACGCCCCTCCCCTCGCAGCCGCCCCCGGCCCCGAACCCCCCGGACCTGGCCCCGCCCCCACGCCGGAGGAGCCAGGTACGAGACTGGGGATACTGGGGGGAACTGGGAGTGCTGGGGGGGGAAACTGGGGATACTGGGAGTGCTGGAGGAGTGACTGGTCATACTGTGGGACACTGGGAGCACTAGAAAGGGAGTACTGGGAGCACTGGGGATAACTGGGAGCACAGGGGTGTAACTGGGAGCACTGGGGGATAACTGGAAGCACTGGGGGTAATGGAGGAGCAGTGGGGGTAAATGGTAGCACTGGGGGTGGGATGGGGTAACTGGGAGCACCGGGAGATAACTGGGAGCACTGGGGGGGTAACTGGGAGCACTGGGGGGGGTCCAGCCTCTCTCTGCCCCCCCCAGCTCAGGACCCCCGACCCAAAGCTGCCTCCAGTTGGGACCCCTCCCTGAACTGGGAGCCCCTCAAATCCCAAAGGACCCCCCGAAGACCCCCCAATTTTGGGGACCCTCCCCAATTCCCGGGGGTCCCAAATAAAGGCGCTGCTGAGCCCCCTGTGCTTACTGGGGGGGGGAGGGGGGGCTGTTTTGGGGTGAAATTCGAGTTTTTTGGGGCCAATCTCGGGGATTTGGGGGGAGGGATCTTGGAATAATTTGGGGGGCTGAATCTCAGGGATTTTGGGGCCTCAGCTGATGTTTTTGGGGTAAAATTCAAGTTTTTGGGGCGAAATTCAAGTTTTTGGGGCCACACTCGGGGATTTGGGGGCTCCAGGAAGGTATTTTGGGGTGAATTGGAGGGGTTTTGGGGTCCCAACAGCTGTTTTTGGGGCCAAACTCAGGGATTTGGGGGTTCCAGGTTACTTTGGGGTGAATTGGAGAGGTTTTGGGGTCCCAGCAGATGTTTTTGTGGTGAATTCCAGAGGTTTTGGGGCCAATCTCAGGGACTAGGGGGCTCCAGGAAGGAATTTTGGGGCAGACTTGGCATTTTTGGGGTCCCTGGAGTTGCTTCCCGGGTGAATTCCGGACGTTTGGGAGCCCAGCAGGCGGTTTGGGGGTGAATTCCAGGGGGGGGTTGGGTCACTCCCAGGGATTTGGGAGGAATTCCTGGGGGCTTGGGGTCCCAAGAGACGGTTTTGGGGCAAATTCCCGAGGTTTTGGGTCCTGTATTTCTCTGTACAGCGAGGGGGGGGGAGGGGCCGTGACCCCTCCCCCCAAAATGTCCTCGGAACGGCCGTGTCGGAGCCCCCGAGCCCGGGATCCATCCCGGGGATCTGGAATCCATCTGGGGGAGCCAGGATCCATCCCAGGGATCCAGGATCCATCCAGGGGGTTCAGGGGGATCCAGGATTGCCCCCCCGTGTCTGGGATCCATCCAGGGGGATCCGGGATTTTGGATCCATCCGGGGGGGTTCAGGATTCAGGATCCACGAGGGAAGTTCAGGGGGATCCAAGATCCAGCTGAGGGGGGATTGGGAAGGATCCAGGATCCCCTCCCGTGTCCAGGATCCATCCAGGAGGTTCAGGAGGATCCAGGGTCCATCCAGGGAGTTCAGGGGGTCCAGGATCCATCCAGGGAGTTCAGGGGGATCCAGGATCCATCTGGGGGATCCAGGGTCCATCCAGGGAGTTCAGGGGGATCCAGGATCCATCCAGGGGGTTCAGGGGGATCCAGAGTCCAGCCATGTCCTTGGGGGTCCCCCTGAATCCGGGGGGGCTCCGTGTCCAGGATCCATCCATGTCCTGGGCTGTGTCCGTGTCCAGGATCCATCCGTGTCCAGGATTCATGTCCATGATCCATCCGTGTCCCAGATCCATCCGTATCCAGGATCCATCCATGTCTGGGATCCATGTCCAGGATCCATCCATGTCCTGGATCCGTGTCCTGGGCTGTGTCCCCATCCCGGATCGTGTCCCTCTGGGATCCAGAGGTGTCCTGGGATCCCTCCGTGTGCAGGATCAGGCCCTCAGTGTCCCCTGGGGTGTCCTTTGGGTGTCCCTCAATGTCCTTTGGGTGTCCTTTAGGTGTCCCTCAATGTCCCTCAGTGTCCCCTGGGGGGTCCTTTGGGTGTCCCCCGGTGTCCCCGAGCCCCCAGGTGTTGTGGGTGTCCTCTGCATGTCCCAGGGTGGCCCTTGGAGTCTCCCGGTGTCCCCAAGGTGCCACCTGGAGTGTCCCCTGGTTGTCCCTTAGTGTCCTTTGGGTGTCCCTTGGTGTCCTTTGGGTGTCCCTCAATGTCCCTTGGTGTCCCTTAGTGTCCTGGGTGTCCTTTGGGTGTGTTCCACTGTCCCCTGGGTGTCCTTTGGGTGTCCCCCAAGTTCCCCTGGTGTCCCCAGAGTGCCACTGTCCCCTGGGTGTCCCTTTGGTGTCCCCTCAGATGCCACAGGAGTCCCTTGGGTGCTGTGGGTGCCCCTCGGTGTCCCCTGGGTGCCATGGCTGTCCCTTCGTGTCCTTTGGGTGACCCCTGGGTCCCACGAGTGTCCCTCGGTGTCCCCAAGGTGCCCCGGGGAGTTGGGGTGTCCCTGGATGTCCCCTGGGTGCTGTGGGTGTCCCTTAATGTCCCCTGGGTGTCCTTAGTGTCCCCTGGATGTCCCCTGGGTGCTGTGGGTGTCCTCAGTGTCCCCCGGATGTCCCCTGGGTGTCCTCAGTGTCCCCCCATGGACTGGGGACACCCACAGGGCTGGCAGGTGCCCCCATGTCCCCGTGTGCCCCCTTGGGCTGTCCCCAATGTCCCAAAAAGTCAGGGTTCTGTCAATGCCCCCTCAGTCTCACTGTCCCCAATGTCCCCATGTCCCCAAAGGTCAGGGTTCTGTCAATGCCCCCTCGGTCTCACTGTCCACATGTCCCCAATGATGTCCCCAATGATGTCCCCAGCGATGTCCCCAGTGTCCCCAGGTCAGGGCTCTGCGGGTGCCCCCTCAGTCTCACTGTCCCCCATGTCCCCATGTCTCCCTGTCCTTGATGTCCCCAATGATGTCCCCAATGTCCCAGGGCTCAGGGCTCTGGGGATGCCCCCTCGGTGTCACTGTCACTGCTGTCCCCCATGTCCCCAATGTCCCCAGTGTCCCCCATGTCCCCGATGTCCCCAGGTCAGGGCTCGGGGTTTCCCCCCTCGGCCTCGCTGTCGCTGCTGTCCCCGATGTCCCCCATGTCCCCCAAGTCCCCAGGGTTAAGGGGATGCCCCCTCGGTGTCACTGTCACTGCTGTCCCCCATATCCCCCATGTCCCCAGGTCAGGGCTCGGGGTTTCCCCCCTCGGCCTCGCTGTCGCTGCTGTCCCCGATGTCCCCCATGTCCCCCATGTCCCCCGGGGGGAGGCTGAAGGGGGGCAGCTCCTCGTCCGACGAGCCCAGTGAGTCCTCGTCCCCCAGGCGGGTCCCCAGGGCCACCCCCCCGAAGGACAGCGGGCCCCGCAGCAGCCGGATCTGCGGGGATGGGGATGGGGACAGGGATGGGGACAGGGACAAGGGACATGGGATAAGGAACAGGGACAGGAACAGGGACAGGGACAAGGGATAAGGAACAGGGACAGGGGACAGGAACACAGGACAAGGGACAGGAATGGGGACAGGGACAGGAAGAAGGACAGGGAGAGGGACAAGAGAGAGGGGAGAGGGGATGAGGAAAAGGACAAGGGACAGGAGGGGACAAGGGACAGGAGGGGACAAGGGCCAGCAGAGAAGGGGAGGAGGGAGCAGAGGGGGACACTGTCACCAGCTGTCCCCGGGCCACGTGACCCCGTGGGGACACGGCCAGTGGCACCCAGGACACGTCACCAGTGGTGGCAGTGCCAGCACCAGGGGCTACCCAGGGACTGTCCCCGGGGTGCCCCGGCCTTGGGGACAGCGGGGACACACCCTGGGCAGGGCGGGGTCACCCCCGAGGGGGGTCCCTCACTCTGGGTGTCCCCCAGCACCCCTGGGGACAGCGGTGTCCCCACTGGAGTCCCCTGCCCCCTGTCCCCCCCAGCCCCCCTGGGGACAGCGGTGTCACCACTGGGGTCCCTCAGCCCCTGTCCCCCCAGTACCCCTGGGTGCCCCCCGGGGGTACCCCAGTCCCCGGGGGTCCCACCTGTGGGTGTTCCCAACCTGTGGATGCCACCCAGGGGTCCCCCCACCCTCCGTGGGTGTCCCCCCGGTGTCTCCCAGCCCGGGGATCCCACCCAGGTGTCCCCCCAGCCCGGGGGTGTCCCCATCCCTGCCCAGGGGTGTCCCCAGCCCCGGGGGTGTCCCCATCCCTGCCCAGGGGTGTCCCCAACCCGTGGGTGTCCCCCAGGTGTCCCCCCAGCCCCAGGGGTGTCCCCATCCCTGCCCAGAGGTGTCCCCAGCCCCATGGGTGCCCCCCAGGTGTCCCCCCAGCCCGGGGGTGTCCCCACCTCAGCCTTGAGCTCGTCGATGTGGTCCCGGAGCTGTTGGATGTACTGGGCGGCGTCCGAGTGGTTCAGCTGGCCCTGGATCCGCCCCTCCTCTCTCTGTGGGGGGGGGAAATGGGGGTCAATGCAGCCCCCCCAAACCCTCCCTGAACTCCCAACCTCCTCCTGGATCTGCCCCTCCTCCCTCTGGGGAGAATGGGGGGCACTGTGGCCCCCCCCAAGCCCCTGAACTCCCCCTGGTACCCCCTGCCACTCCCCTGTCTCCATGGGGTTCCCCATGTCCCCCTTCTTGGGTCCTCCAAGACCTCTCCTTTTGGGTCCCCCATGGCCCCTCCCCCATGGTTCCAGTGTCCCCTCCTTTGGGCTCCCAGGGTCCCCCCCATATGGTCCCAATGTCCCTCCCATACGGTCCCAGTGTCCCCCCTCTATGGTCCCAGTGTCCCCCCCATATGGCCCCAGTGTCCTCTCCTCTGGGGTCCCAGTGTCCCCCCAGTGTCCCCTGCCATTGTGACCCCATGTCCCCTGCCTTGGGTCTCAGTGTCCCCTCCTACTGTACCCTCGTGGCCCCCTCCTTGGGGTCCCCCTGTCCCCCCCGTCCCCCCGTGCCGTGTCCCCACCTGTATCTCGAGCTCGGCCACACGCTGCCTCATCTCGGCCAGGGCAGCCATGCTGTCAGCCTCGCGCAGCCGCACCGCCATCACCTCCTCCTTGCTCTGGGGACAGCCGGGTCACCCGTGGGGACAGCCGGGTCACCCGTGGGGACAGCGGGGTCACCCACGGGGACAGCAGGGACAGCCCACAGACACCGTGTCACCCACGGGGACAGTGTGGGGACACCCAGAGGACACTCCAGGGACACCCGTGGGGACATCCCATGGACACCGTGTCACCCAAGGGGACAACCCCCCCCAGCCTGGGGACATTGGTGTCACCAAGGATATGCTGCACTGCCCTGGGGACACCCTGGAGACACCCCCCACAGCCTGGGGACACCCTGGGGACACCCTGGGGACACGCTGGGGACACCGGTGTCACCAAGGACACGCTGTACCGCCCTGGGGCGCTGTGAGGCAGCTGTGTCCCCTTTGTCCTGGGTCTGCCGGTGTCCCCCCCTCCTCGTCCCGTGTCCCCACCCCCGTGTCCGTGTCCCCTCCCCGCCCCCCTGTCCCTGTCCCCGCCCCCCTGGGTGTCACCTTGCACTGAGCCTCAGCGTGTTTGCGGTGGCTCTCGCTGAGCTGCGCCTGCAGCCCCTGGCTCTGCGCGGCCGCCGCCCGCAGCTGCTCCCGCAGCCCCGCACACGCCTGCTCTGCTCTGCCCAGGACAGTCCTCTGGATCTGACCCTGGGGACAGCAGTGACACAGCCTGTCACACCCCCTGTCACCGCCTGCTCCGCCCTGCCCAGGACAGTCCTCTGGATCTGACCCTGGGGACAGCAATGTCACAGCCCGTCACCCCCTGTGCCCTCCCTGTCACACCCCCTGTCACCTCCCTGTCACCTCCTGCTCCGCCCTGCCCAGCACCGTGTACTAGATCTGACCCTGGGGACAGCAGTGACACAGCCTGTCACACCCCCTGTCACCCCCTGTCACCGCCTGTCGCACCCCCGTGTCACACCCCCTGTCACCCCCTGACTGTGCAGTCCCCGCCCGCAGCTGCTCCCGCAGCCCCGCGCACGCCTGCTCTGCTCTGCCCAGGACAGTCCTCTGGATCTGACCCTGGGGACAGCAATGTCACAGCCTGTCACCTCCTGTGCCCTCCCTGTCACCTCCTGTCACCCCGTCACCTCCTGCTCTGCACAATCCCTGTCCCAGTGCTCCCAGTCCCCCCCAGTGCTCCCAGTTCCCCAGTACCTGTGTCTCCAGCTCCAGCACGCGCTGCTGCAGCACCCTCAGCTCCGCCTGTGCCTCTCCCCCAGCCCCCCCCAGTGCTCCCAGTCTCCCCCAGTGCTCCCAGTCCCCCCCAGTTCCCCCAGTACTTGTCTCCAGCTCCAGCACGTGCTACCACAGTGCCCCAGTCCCCCCCACTGTTCCCAGTGCTCCCAGTCCCCCCCAGTGCTCCCAGTTCCCCAGTACCTGTGTCTCCAGCTCCAGCACGCGCTGCCGCAGCGCTCTCAGCTCCGCCTGTGCCTGCGCCTCGCGCAGCCGCGCCCCCAGCACGGCCTCCTGCAGGGCCTTGGGGTCACCCGGGGGGTCCTTCCAGCGTCCCCGGCCCTGGGACACCTGCGGGGACACCTGGGTCAGGGACACACCTGGGGACACCTGGGGAACAGCTGGGACAACTGGGACACCTGGTGAGGTACTGGGCACACCTGGGGAACAGCTGGGGACAGCTGGGGACACCTGGGGAACAGCTGGGACACCTGGGGACAGCTGGATCACACCTGGATACACCTGGTCAGGTACTGGGCACACCTGGGACAGGCACTGGGCACACCTGGTCAGGTACCCTGGTCAGGTACCCCCGGCGGCCAGAGGGAGGGCCCGGGGTGGGGACAAGGGACGCAGGTGTTTGGGAGGGGACCCAGCACTGCCTGCTGTCCCCACGGTCCCCACCCGTGTCCCAGGTGTCCCCCTGCTGTCCTGCCAGGTGTCCCTGCTGTCCCCAGGTGTCCCTGAGCTCCCCCATGTCCCAGGTGTCCCCAGGTGTCCCTCCCATGTCCCTGCTGTCCCCAGGTGTCCCTTGCTGTCCCCAAGTGTCACTGAGCTCCTTGACCTGCTGCTGGAGCTCGCTGAGGGACTTCACGGCCTCGGCCTCGCGCAGGGCCAGCGCCTGCAGCTCCTCCTGCAGCCGCACCACGTTGTCCTCGTCCGGCAGCAGCGTGTTCCTCTGCAGGGACAGGGGACATCAGGGGAAACAAGGGACAGCCATGGGCACAGGGACATCAGCCACAGGGACAGGGGACAGCCACGGGGACAGGGGACATGGCCATGGGGACAGGGGACATCAGTGGGGACAAGGGAACAACCCTGGGGACATCCCCGGGGAAAGGGACATCAGCGGGGAGAGCCATGGAGGCAGAGAACATCAGTGGGGACAGGGGACATCAATGGGGACAAGAACATCAATGGCGACAGGGGACATCAGTGAGGACAGGGGACATCAGTGGGGACAGGGGACATCAGTGAGGACAGGGAACATCAACAGGGCCAGGGGACAGCCATGACATTAATGGAGACACAGTTGGGGACCTTCCCAGGGCCACTCATGACACCTCCTGTCCCCAGGGCCACTCGTGTGACCCTCCTTGTCCCCAAGGCCACTGGTGTGACACTGCCACCCCCAAGGTGAGGGGCGTGCCCCTCCCCTCCCTGCGGTGTCCCCTCTGTCCCCGTGTCACCTTCTCCATGTCCAGGACCTTGTCCTGCATCTCCTTGAGGGCCCCGAGGGTTTCGCTCTCGCGGAGCCGCGACCGCTCCAGCTCCGTCTGCAGGTGGGTGACGAACTCCTCGCTGAACCGCGGGTTCCCCTGGGGACACACAGTGTCACCAACTGTCACCTGCCCCTGTGACACCCCCTGACACCCCTGTGTCACCCCCATTGTCACCCCTGTGACACCCCCATTGTCTGCAGGTGGGTGACGAACTCCTCGCTGAACTGCGGGTTCCCCTGGGGACAGAAAGGGTCACATCACCCCTGTCACACCCTGACACACCTGTGACACCCCCACTGTCACCCGTGACACCCCCACTGTCACCCCTGTGACACCCCGTTACCCCTGTGTCACCCCCATTGTCTGCAGGTGGGTGACGAACTCCTCGCTGAACCGCGGGTTCCCCTGGGGACACAGGGTCACATCACCCCTGGGACACCCCCATTGTCACCCCTGTGACACCCCCATTGTCACCCCTGGGACACCCCCATTGTCACCCCTGTGACACCCCCATTGTCTGCAGGTGGGTGATGAACTCGCTGAACTGCGGGTTCCCCTGGGGACAGAAAGTGTCACCAGGGTCACATCACCCCTGTCACACCACCCTGACATCCCTCTGACACCCCCATTGTCACCCCTGTGACACACCCCTGTCTGCAGGTGGGTGACGAACTCCTCATTGAACTGTGGGTTCCCCTGAAGACACACAGGGTCACATCAGCCCTGTCACACCCTGTGACACCCCGACACACCTGTGACACCCCCATTGTCACCCCTGTGACACCCTCATTGTCACATTACCCCTGTGACACCCCCCTTGTCACCCCCATTGTCTGCAGGTGAGTGACAAACTCCTTGCTAACCCGCGGGTTCCCCTGGGGACACACAGGGTCACCAACTGTCACTTCCCCGTCACATCTGTCACACTCCCCTGTCACACCCCCCCCTTGGTGACACCCACTGGGACCACCCAAATCCCGGGTGTGGCAGGGGGGGTGTCAGATGGGGACACACCTGCTGTCCCTGTAGGGGACACTGGGGACACTCTGGGGACATTGGTGACACACCTGCTGTCCCTGCAGCTCCCAAATTGTGCTCTGTGCTCTCTGCAGGTTCTTGGTGGGGCTGCTGCAGGGGACACTGGGGACACTTCGAGCACACTGGGGTCCCTGGGGACATTCCGGGGACACTGGGGACACACCTGCTGTCCCTGCAGGGGACACTTTGAGCACACTGGGGGCACTATGAAACCTTTGATGACCCTTTGGGGACATTGGTGACACACCTGCTGTCCCTGCAGCTCTCGAATCGTGCTCTGAGCCCGCTGCAGGTTCTCGGTGGCGCTGCTGCAGGGGACACTGGGGGCACTCTGGGGACACTTTGAGCACACTGGGGACACTGGTGACACTCTGGGGACATTGGTGACACACCTGCTGTCCCTGCAGCTCTCGAATCGTGCTCTGTGCCCGCTGCAGGTTCTCGGTGGCGCTGCTGCAGCGCTGCCGCACCACGGCCAGCTCCCGCTTGATGATGTAATTCTCCTCCGCCTCCTGCGCCCGCGTCACCTGGCCCTGGGGACACCGCGGGGACAGTCGGGCACGGCGGGGGACAGGCGACACCCGCCCGGGGGACATGGGGACAGCGCCAGCCCAGCTCACAGTGACACTGGGGACAGCTGGGGACACCGCGGGGACAGTCTGGCACGGCTGGGGACAGGCGACACCTGCCCAAGGGGCATGGGGACAGTGCCAGCCCGGCTCAGGGTGACACTGGGGACACCGCGGGGACAGTCGGGCACGGCGGGGGACAGGCGACACCCGCCCGGGGGGCACGGGGACAGGGCCAACCTGGCACACAGTAACACTGGGGACACCGTGGGGACAGTCGGGCACGGTTGGGGACAGGCGACACCCGCCCAGGGGGCAGGGTGACAGTGCCAGCCCAGCTCACAGTGACACTGGGGACAGCTAGGGACAGGAGCCACCCGCCCGGGGGGCACGGGGGCAGTGCCATCCCGGCTCAGGGTGACACTGGGGACACCGCGGGGACAGTCGGGCATGGTTGGGGACAGGGGTCACCCGCCCAGGGGGTACGGGGACAGGGTCATCCCGGCTCACAGTGACACTGGGGACAGGAGCCACCCGCCCGGGGGGCACGGGGACAGCGCCAGCCCAGCTCACTGTGACACTGGGGACACCGCGGGGACAGTCGGGCACGGCGGGGGACAGGTGACACCCGCCCGGGGGCAGTGCCAGCTCGGCACACAGTGACGCTGGGGACAGTCGGGCACGGTTGGGGACAGGGGTCACCCGCCCAGGGGGTACGGGGACAGGGTCATCCCGGCTCAGGGTGACACTGGGGACAGCTGGGGACAGGAGCCACCCGCCCGGGGGGCACGGGGGCAGTGCCATCCCGGCTCAGGGTGACACTGGGGACAGCTGGGGACAGGAGCCACCCGGCCAGGGGGTGGTGACTCGGTGCCAGCTTGACCTGGGGTGACACTGGGAAGGGGGTGGTGGCAGTGGGAGGGACAAGGGGGTGCCACCAGTCCCACAGACGATGAAGTTGGGGACAAGGGGGTGACACTGGGGACAGTGGTGAGGTGTCATCACCCAGCCAGGGGGTCACTGGTTCGGTGGCATCCCAGCTCACGGTGACACTGGGGACAGTTGGGGACAGGAGTCACCTGGCCAGGGGGTCACTGGTTCGGTGGCATCCCAGCTCAGGGTGACATTGGGGACAGCTGGGGACAGGTGCCACCTGGCTGGGGGGTGGTGGCAGTGGGGGGGACAAGGGGGTGCCACCACAGAGGGTGACAGTGGGGACAAGCTGGTGACACATGGAGGGTGACACCAACCCCACAGGAGGTGACACAGGGGACAAAGCCGTGCCACCAGCCCCCGGTGACATCTCCAGACCTAAGGGAGGTGACACCAGCCCCATGGGAGGTGACACTGGGGACACAGAGATGCCACCAGCTGTGGGAGTGACACTGGGGACAAAGAAGTGCCACTGCCCCGGGAGATGACATTTGGGGACAAGTTCCAGGTGATACCCCCCACTCCCTCGGGAGGTGACATTTGGGGACAAGGAGGTGCCACCAGCCCCAGGTGATACCCCCCACTCCCCAGGAGGTGACATTTGGGGACAAGGAGGTGCCACCCTCCCCATGGACACCTCCTGCCACCCCTCCCCCTTCCCTTCCCTCCCCCCCGCCCCAGGTCCCCAAATTCTGCCCAAACTCATCAAACCACGGCTCTTTTACCCCCATTTCCCCCTCCCCCGACCCCAATCCCAATCCCGCCCATCCCAATCCCCTATCCCGATCCCAATCCCGATCCCAATCCCGATCCCCCGGGAAAGGCGCTCGGGAGCCTCCGGAAAAGCAGGAGCAGGGGCCGTTCCCGCGGGGGGAGCGGCGGGAAAGGGGAGGAGGAGGAGTCGGAAATGGGGGAAAAAAGCGGGAAAAGGGGGAAAAGGGGAGGGAAAGGGGCCGAGGGAGCGCTCGGCGTACCTGGATGAGGCGGTCGGCGAGAGCCGCGCTCTCCTGGAGCAGGGACGGACAGACAGAGTGAGGAGCAGACGCACAGACCAGACCGAGAGGAGGCCCCGGCGCCTTCCCCGGCCCCCCCCCCGGCCCCTTCCAGACATTTCGGGGGCTTCGATCCCAAAAATCCGCGCGGGACCGGCCCCTTCCAGACATTTCGGGTCTTTCATCCCCAAAAATCCGCGCGGGATCGGCCCCTTCGGGCCTTTCATCCCCAAAAATCCGCGCGGGTTCGGCCGCCCCGAGCAGAGGGAGGAGCCCCGAGCGGAGACCCCCGGACCTTCCCGCGCCTCCCAACCCCAGCATGGGGCGATTCCAGGGGGCTTTTATCCAAAACCGGGAGTTTTGTCCCAAAACAGGGGAATTTTGTCCCAAAACAGGGGGATTTTGCCCCAAGAGGGGGTTATTTCACCCCATGAGCGGAGATCCGGGGACCTTCCCCGCCTCCCAACCCCGGGGCAGGGGTAATTCCAGGGATTTTGGTGGCTTTTATCCCAAAATGGAGAGATTTTGCCAAAACCCGGGGGATTTTGACCCTAAACTGGGAGATTTTGCCTCAAAAGGGGACGATTTTGCTTCAAAACAGGGGGATTTTACCCCAAAAGGGGGTTATTTTACACCCCACTCCCCCCTCCGGAGCAGAGGGAGGAGCCCCGAGCGGAGCCCCCGGACCTTCCCGCGCCTCCCAACCCCGGGATGGGGCAATTCCAGGGATTTTAGGGGCTTTTATGAACAAACGGGAGTTTTGTCCCAAATCAGGGGGATTTTGTCCCAAAACAGGGGGATTTTGCCCCAAGAGGGGGTTATTTCATACCCCCCGAGCGGATCCCCCGGGACCTTCCCGCGCCTCCCAACCCCGGCATGGGGCGATTCCAGGGATTTTGGGGGTTTCTGTCCCAAAATGGAGAGATTTTGCCAAAACCCGGGGGATTTTGACCCTAAACTGGGCGATTTTGCCTCAAAAGGGGACGATTTTGCCTCAAAACAGGGGGATTTTGCCCCAAAAGGGGATTAATTCACTCCCCGGAGCAGAGGGAGGAGCCCCGAGCGGAGCCCCCCGGACCTTCCTGTGCTTCCCAACCCCGGGGCAGGGGCAATTCCAGGGATTTTGGGGGCTTTTATCCAAAAACAGGAGTTTTGTCCAAATCAGGGGGATTTTGTCCCAAAACAGGGGGATTTTGCCCCAAAAGGGGGTTATTTCACCCCCTGGAGCAGAGGGAGGAGCCTCGAGCGGAGCCCCCCGGACTTTCCCGTGCCTCCCAACCCCGGGGCAGGGGCAATTCCAGGGATTTTGGGGGCTTTTATCCCAAAACAGAGAGATTTTGCCAAAAACCGGGTGATTTTGACCCTAAACTGGGCGATTTTGCCTCAAAAGGGGACGATTTTGCCTCAAAACAGGGGGAGTTTTGTCCCAAAACAGGGGGATTTTGTCTTAAAATGGGGGGATTTTGCCTCAAAATGGGGGGGATTTTATCCCACGATGGGAGTGTTTTATCCTAAAATGGAGGGATTTGACCTCAAAATCAGGGAATTTTGTCTCAAAACGGGGGTTTTTGTTCCAAAACGGGAGCATTTTGCCTCAAAACAGGGGCATTTTATCCCAAAGTGTGGGGATTTTGCCTTAAAACAGTGAGACTTTTTTCCTCAAAACAGGGGGATTTGTTCCAAAATGGGAGGATTTTGTCCCAAAATGCGGGGATTTTACCTGAAAATGGGGGGATTTTGCCCCAAAATGGAGGAATTTTACCTCAGATTGGGGGGATTTTGCCTCAAAACGGGGGGATTTTGGGGTGTCCAAGGGTGGTTTTGGGGGCTCCCAGGATGTTTTTGGGTTCTCACAGGATGTTTTTGGGGTCTCACAGGGTGTTTTTGGGGTTCCCCAGGGTGTTTTTAGGGTCCCCCCCCCGGATTCTTAGGGGCATTTGGGGGTCCCAGAGGTTGTTTTCAGGGTCCCCCCGGGATGTTTAGGGGTGTTTTGGGGTCCCCCCTGGACATTTTGGGGTGTTTTTGGAGACTCCCCAGGATTTTTAGGGGTGTTCTGGTGTCCCACAGGGTGTTTTTAAGGTCCTCCCTGGGATGTTTAGGGGTGTTTTTGGGGTCCTCCTGGGTGTATTTGGGGTCCCCTTGGGACATTCAGGGGTGTTTTGTAGGGTCCCACAGAGATTTTTAAGGGTGTTTTGGGGTCCCTTGGGGTGTTTTTGGGGTCCCCCCGGGATTTTCAGGGATGTTTTGGGGTCCCTTGGGGTGTTTTTGGGGTCCCCTCGGGATTTTCAGGAGTGTTTTTGGGGTCCCCCTGGGATTTTCAGGGGTGTTTTGGGGTCCCTTGGGGTGTTTTTAGGGTCCCACAGGGATTTTCAGGGATGTTTTGGGGTCCCTTGGGGTGTTTTTGGGGTCCCCTAGGGATTTTCAGGGATGTTTTGGGATCCCTTGGGGTGTTTTTGGGGTCCCCTCGGGATTTTCAGGAGTGTTTTTGGGGTCCCCCCCGGGTTCACCTTCTCCAGGGTCTCAATCCGCTGTTTCAGGAGCCGGTTCTCGGTTCGGAGCCGCTGGGGGGGAAAAGCTGGGAATTATTCCCGGGAATGGGGCAGGGGACCCTGGGGGGGGGCTCAAAGTGGCTCCAGGGTGGTTTTGGTGGCCCCAGGGATGGCTTTGGTGGCCCTGGGACGGATCAAGGTGACCCTGGGGAGGCTCAAGGTGCCTCCAGGGCCCCTTTGGTGGCCCCAGGGGTGGGTTGGGTGCGCCTGTGGTGGCCGTGGTGGCCCCAGGGGTGGGTTGGGTGCCCCTGTGGTGGCCGTGGTGGCCCCAGGGATGGGTTGGGTGGCCCCAGGGATGGGCTGGGTGCCCCTGTGGTGGCTGTGGTGGCCCCAGGGGTGGTTTTGGTGGCCCCAGGGGTGGGTTGGGTGCCCCTGTGGTGGCCATGGTGGCCCCAGGGATGGGTTGGGTGCCCCTGGGATGGCTGTGGTGGTCCTGGGATGGCTCGAGGTGCCCCTGTGGTGGCTGTGGTGGCCCCAGGGGTGGTTTTGGTGGCCCCAGGGATGGGTTGGGTGGCCCCGGGAGCCCCGCAGCGTCCCCGGCTGCCCCACCTTGATCTCGACCTGCTCCTCCATCTCCTTGCTCTTGAGGGCGGCGTACTCCTTCTCCAGCCTGGGGGCAGAGCGCACGTGGGGCCTGGGCCGGGGGCTGAGCCCCCCGCGGGACCCCCACTCACCTCTTCATCCTGCGCGGGTTCACCTTCACCTGGCACGCCCGCAGGATCAGCTTGTCGGGACACGCGTCGAACTGGTGCGGGATCACCTTCTGGAAGTACTGTGGGAGCGGCAGGGACTGCCCCAGGGCACCCCAAACCAACCCAGAGCACCCCAAACCACCCCAAAAACACCCCAACAACGGGATCACCTTCTGGAAGTACTGCGGGAGCGGACTGCCCAGGGCACCCAAAACACCCCAAACCACCCCAAAAACGCCCCAGAGCACCCCAACAACAGGAGAACTGGTGCGGGATCACCTTCTGGAAGTACTGCGGGAGCGGCAGGGACTGCCCCAGGGCACCCCAAAAACACCCCAAAAACAGCCCAGGGCACCCCAAAAACAGCCCAGAGCACCCCAAACCAACCCAAAAACACCCCAGAGCACCCCAAACCACCCCAGAGCACCCCAACAATGGGATCACCTTCTGGAAGTACTGCGGGAGCGGCAGGGACTGCCCCAGGGCACCCCAAAAACACCCCAAACCTCCCCAAACCAGAGCACCCCAACAACGGAGAACTGGTGCGGGATCACCTTCTGGAAGTACTGCGGGAGCGGCAGGGACTGCCCCAGGGCACCCCAGAGCACCCCAGGGCACCCAAAAAACACCCCAAACCACCCCAAAAACATCCCAGGGCACCCCAAAAACACCCCAGGGCACCCCCAAAACACCCCAGAGCAACCCAGAAACACCCCAGAGCACCCCAAACCACCCCAAAAACACCCCAGAGCACCCCAAAAACACCCCAGAGCACCCCAACAACGGGATCACCTTCTGGAAGTACTGCAGGAGCGGCAGGGACTGCCCCAGGGCACCCCAAACCAACCCGGAGCACCCCAAAAACAGCCCAGAACACCCCAAAAACACCCCAGAGCACCCCAACAACACCCCAGAGCACCCCAACAACGGGATCACCTTCTGGAAGTACTGCAGGAGTGGCAGGGACTGCCCCAGAGCACCCCAAAAACACCCCAACAACAGGGATACCCACACCAAACCACCCCAACAATGGGAGAACTGGTGCGGGATCACCTTCTGGAAGTACTGCGGGGGAGCAGTGGGGGCAGCCACGGCAGGGACTGCCCCAGAGCACCCCAAACCCCAAAAACACCCCAGAGCACCCCAAGAACACCCCCAAAACACCCCCGAGTACCCCAAAAACACCCCAGAGCACCCCAACAACGGGATCACCTTCTGGAAGTACTGCAGGGGAGTGGCAGGGACTGCCCCAGGGCACCCCAAACCAACCCAGAGCACCCCAAACCACCCCAGAGCACCCCAAAAACACTCCAAAAACATCCCAGAGCACCCCAAAAACACCCCAACAATGGGAGAACTGGTGCAGGATCACCTTCTGGAAGTACTGCAGGTGAGCAGTGGGGGCAGCCATGCCTGGGACTGCCCCAGAGCACCCCAAAACCACCCCAAAAACACCCCAGGGCACCCCAAAACCACCCCAAAATGGGGAAAACCACCCCAAAATGGGGGAAAACCATCCTAAACCCACTTCAAAATGGGCAAAATCTGCCCCAAAGCACGTCCTGTTGGACAAATGTAAAGTCCTGGTGCCCAATTCTGCCCCAAAACTGCCCTAAAACACGACCCTTTGGACAAATCCACCTCAAACCACGTCCCATTGACTAAATCAGCCCCTAAACCCACCCACTGGTCCCACCCACCCCAAAACTGCTCCCAGTGGATAAATCCACCCCAAAACTGCTCCCATTGGTCCCCCTCACCCCAAAACTGCTCCCAGTGGATAAATCCACCCCAAAACCGCTCCCCCTGGCCCCACCACCCCAAAACCACTCCCACTGGTCCAACCCACCCCAAAACTGCTCCCCCTGGCCCCATCATCCCAAAACTGCTCCCCCTGGTCAAACCCACCCCAAAACTGCTCCCCCTGGTCCCACCATCCCAAATCTGCTCCCCCTGGTCAAACCCACCCCAAACTGCTCCCTAGCTCCCCCACCTCAAAACTGCTCCCCCTGGTTCCAACCCACCCCGAAAACTGCTCCCCATGGTCAAACCCACCCCAAAACTGCTCCCAGTGGTCCCACCATCCCAAAACTGCTCCCACCACCCCAAAACTGCTCCCACTGGTCCCACCACCCCAAATCTGCTCCCCCTGGTCCCCACCCCGGAGCCCCCCCGGTACCTGGGACATTCCCTCCATGTCCAGCTGGACCAGCTCGGCCTGGTTGAGCTGCAGCAGCGCCAGCCCCACACGGAACACGATCTCCAATCCCTGCAACCCCAAACACACACACTGTGGGATTTGGGATTATTTCCCAGCCCCACATGAACACGATCTCCAATCCCTGCAACCCCAAACACACTGTGGGATTTGGGATTATTTCCCAGCCCCACACGGAACACGATCTCCAATCCCTGCAACCCCAAACACACTGTGGGATTTGGGATTATTGCCCAGCCCCACACGGAACACGATCTCCAGCCCCTGCAACCCCAAACAAACACACTGTGGGATTTGGGATTATTTCCCAGCCCCACACGGAACACGATCTCCAATCCCTGCAACCCCAAACAAACACACTGTGGGATTTGGGATTATTTCCCAGCCCCACACGGAACACGATCTCCAATCCCTGCAACCCCAAACACACTGTGGGATTTCCCAGCCCCACATGGAACACGATCTCCAATCCCTGCAACCCCAAACAAACACACTGTGGGATTTCCATTTCCCAGCCCCACACGGAACACGATCTCCAATCCCTGCAACCCCAAACACACTGTGGGATTTCCCAGCCCCACATGGAACACGATCTCCAATCCCTGCAACCCCAAACACACTGTGGGATTTGGGATTATTGCCCAGCCCCACACGGAACACGATCTCCAATCCCTGCAACCCCAAACAAACACACTGTGGGATTTGGGATTATTTCCCAGCCCCACATGAACACGATCTCCAGTCTTTGGCAGCTGGCTTACATACTGTGGATTTCGAGCCCCATTTGGAGCACGATCTTCGGGGGCTGGTTTGGGGTACAGTTTGGGGGCTGGTTTTTGGGTCCAGTTTTGGGGCTGTTATTTGGGGCTGGTTTGGGGGCCAGTTTGGGGGTTGGTTTTCAGGGCTGTTTTTTGGGGCTGGTTTTCGGGCTGGTTTGGGGGTTGGTTTTTAGGGTTGGTTTGGGGGCTGGTTTTTGGGGCTGGTTTTTGGGGCTGGTTTTCGGGGCTGGTTTTTGGGGCTGGTTTTGGGGGGCTGGTTTGGGGTTCGTTTTTTGTGTCCAGTTCTGTGTCTGGTTTTGGGAGCTGTGTTTCGGGGCCAGTTCTGTGTCTGTTTTTGTGTCCGGTTCTGCGTCCAGTTTTTGGGGCCAGTTTCGTGCCCGGTTCTGTGTCCAGTTTTTGGGGGCCCGTTTTGGGGCCAGTTCTGTGTCCGGTTCTTGGGGTTGGTTTTTGGTGCTGGTTTTTGGGCCAGTTCTGTGTCTGGTTCTTGGTGTCGGTTTTTGGGGCTGGTTTTGGGGGTTGTTTTTTGTGTCCGGATTTTGTGTCCGGTTTTTGTGTCCGGTTTTTGGGGCCGGTTTTGGGGGTTGTGTTTTGTGTCCGGTTTTTGTGTCCGGTTGTGTGCCCGGTTCCGTGCCGGTTACCTCGTACATGAAGATGTCGAAGACGCGCGTGGCCACGGGCAGGGGGAAGGTGGTGAGGAAGAGGGTGAGGAACCAGGACGAGGCGTACATGGAGGTGAGGAAGCTCTGCGAGCGGAAGTGCACGTTCAGCTCCGGCAGCTGCTCCTGCGGCGGCACCGACAGCAATCAGGGACCGGGGGGTTTGGGGCTGTCTGGGGGCTGGGGGGCTTTGAGGGGCCCAGGAGGTCTCAGGGTTGGTCCTTTTTGGGGTCTCAGGGATGGTCCCTTTGGGGTTCTCAGGGATGGTCCCTTTGGGGTCTCAGGGATGGTCCCTTGGGGGTTTCAGGGATGGTCCTGGGGTGTCCCTGAACTGTTTCAGGGATGGTCCCTTGGGGGTCTCAGGGATGGTCCCCTTGGGGTCTCAGGGATGGTCCCTTGGGGGTTTCATGGATCATACCCAGGCTATGGATGGCCCCTGGAGCACCCCATGGAGCCCTGGGGGTCTCGTGGATGGTCCCTTTGGGGGGGTCTCAGGGAATCCCCCCAGGCATCTCCCGGCCATCCTTGGGGGTGTCACCTCCGTCCCCCCTCGGAGGTTCCTCAGATCATCTCCGAGACCCCCCGGGCCCCACCCGGAGCATCCCACGGCCCTGCCCCTCTCCCCACCCCTCTCCCCGCCCCAGCCCCCCTCCCCCAGGGCTGGGGGTGCCCACCTGGAGCAGGAACTCGAACTGGTAGATGCAGAGCCCCAGCTGGGCCATGCTGGGCTTGAAGAGCTCGCGCAGCCGGTACTCCTGCATGAGGCGCACGAAGACGCAGAACGCCTCCTCCTCGGGCATCTGCGGGGCCACACGTCCCTGCCACCTCCCCACGGACACCACGGCCCCTGGGGGGCTCTGGGAGCTGCCCACGGGGGGGCTGAACCCAGCAGGGCCGAGGGGGAACCCCCCCCAAAATGGGTTAATGGGGGAGGAGGTTCCCAGTTCCCCTCGGGTGGTGGGAGGGGATTGGGGTTAAACCCACCAGGACTAAGGGGGAACCCCCAAAGAGCTCCATTTGGGATGGGGAGGATGAGGGAGAACATTCCCAGTTCCCCTAGGGTGGTGGGAGGGGATTGGGGTTAAACCCACCAGGACTAAGGGGGAACCCCCAAAGAGCTCCATTTGGGATGGGAGGATGAGGAGAACATTCCCAGTTCCCTAGGGGTGGTGGGAGGATTGGGGGTTAAACCCATCAGGACTAAGTGGGAACCCCAAAGAGCTCCATTTGGGATGGGGAGGATGAGGGAGAACATTCCCAGTTCCCCTAGGGTGGTGGGATGGGATTGGGAGATTCCAGGGGGGTTTAAACCCACCAGGACTAAGTGGGATCCCCAAGAGGCTCCATCTGGGATGCGGGAACATTCCCAGGGGCCGTTGGGTGGTGGGATGGGATCAGGACATTCCAGGGGGGTTTAAACCCATCAGGACTAAGTGGGATCCTCAAAGGGCTTCATTTGGAATGAGGAGGATGAGGGAGGAAGTTCTCAGTTCCCCTCGGGTGGTGGGAGGGGATTGGGGTTAAACCCACCAGGATTAAGTGGGAACCCCCAAAGAACTCCATTTGGGATGAGGACGATGAGGGAGAACATTCCCAGTTCCCATTGGGTGGTGGGATGGGATTGGGAGATTCCAGGGGGGTTTAAACCCACTAGGACTAAGTGGGAACCCCAAATCAGCTCCATTTGGGATGGGGAGAATGAGGGAACATTCCCAGTGGCCGTTGGGTGGTGGGATGGGATCAGGAGATTCAAGGGGGGGTTAAAATCCACCAGGACCAAGTGGAATTCCCAAGGGGATCATCTGGGATGAGGAGGATGAGGGAGGAGGTTCCCAGTTCCCCTCAGGTTGTGGGATGGGATTGGGAGTCATCCAGAGGGGGTTATAAACCCACCAGGACTGAGTGGGATCCCCAGATCAGCTCCATCTGGGATGAGAAGGATGAGGGAGGAGGTTCCCAGTTCCCCTCAGGTGGTGGGATGGGATCAGGAGATTCCAGGGGGGTTTAAACCCACCAGGACTGAGTGGGATCCCCCAAATCAGCTCCATCTGGGATGGGGAGGATGAGGGAACATTCCCAGTGCCAGCCCCGCTCCCAGGTGTCCCCACAGCTGCCCAGACCTGCATGAGCAGCAGTCCCACGATGAAGGCGCTGCCCTGGCAGTATCCCACCTCCCGATCCACCAGGGAATAGGCCTGGAAAAGGGACACAATCCCAGGCACAGCCGTGCCAGGAGCAGGGGATCCACCCCTGCTCCGGAGGGGACCGTGGGAAAAGGGATTTCTTTGGGTGGGAGACACGTCCCGGGGTCAGGATGTTGCTTAAAAGTTGGATTTAGAGCTCAAAAAAACCCTCAATTTTTGGTTTCTTAACTCAAAATGAACC